TTATGTTATTTTTTTTTTTTTTTTGAAAATTTCAAATTAAAAAAATCCCCATCTTTTTTTTAATTTTAATTTTTTTTATTTTAATATTTTTTTTTAATTTTTTTTTTATATTAAAATTTATTCCTCTATTTTGTTTATTTCCTCCCCATTGTCATTGACATTTGTTTTTATTTGTTTGTTGTTGTTGTTTTTTTTCATTAAAGGTTATTATTTTATGTTAATAAAACAATGTATAGTTAAAGGTTAAACAAAATCAAACATGACTTACCTTTTAGTTATTTGAATTATTTAAAAAAATAACTATGCAGATTTATTATGTCCATATCCAATTTTTTTGCTGCAGTGTTGTTGTTTTATTACAAAATGCATAAAATTAATTTTGCATAATTTTGTTGTTGTTGTTTTGGCACATACACACCCTTATGAAATTATTAGTTATGCACAATAATCAACAATTTAAAAGAAAATTACAAAAACAATTATTTTTCTGCTGTTGTTGTTTTTTTCTCATTCTTTCATCATTGTCACAAAAGATTTACACACATGTTGTCATGTATATACATATATTTATTTATATATATGAAAATATATTATTTATAATACACACACATACATACACACATAATTTTTTCTGGTTCAAAACACTTTGCTTTCAAAACAAAAACCAACAAAAAAAATATCCAAAAAAGAATTCGGCAAATCTTGAATCATAGGAAATTTTGGCACTTTATTTCAAAAAATTATTTTTTTTTTAATTTTTTTATTTGTTATTGAATTTCTTTTAAAACATTTTAAATTTATTTTTTTTCTTAAATTTTGTTGTCTTTCATTTTTCTCTTAAAAAAAAAATATTTTCTTTTATTCTTATTTTTGCATCCACTTTTTTTCCTTGGCACCAAAAACCGAACATCCGACAATTTTTTTTCCCGATTAACGTCTTCTATCGTTGGCTGTCTAGCCACTGAAAGCATCCCCAAATCGGCTAACTAACAGTTAGTAGAATTTTTTGTTTTGGTGAAAATTTATTCAAATTATCATAAAAGCTTTAGCTCAAATTCTCTCCGCAAGCACACACTGGGAGAAGATCACAATGAAGAGAACTATGTTCTTAATTCTCTTAACATTTAAGGTAATACACTCAAAGAAAAAAATGGTTAATTCTATATTTTTTTTTTTTTTGAAAAATAAAAAACTTTGCGCCTAAAAATTTTCATGACATATCGCCTTGTCAAGATTCCCCCCCCCCTAAAAAGAGGGGGGAAAGAACAGCGGAAGAACAACAAAATAGCATTTCCTAAAATCATAGACCTTGTGAAAATTTACCCATAACTCCAATATTTCAACAGCTATATTTCACGATAACTGGTATCATTGGAAAGCGTGGATCCACTTTCATAATATATTACCATTATTAATAATATTTACCTATTATCACAATTATTTTTCCAAAGTTATGAGCAAAACAATTTACTACCAAAATGTTTTTCAATGATTAAAATTCCAAAACTATTGTATTATTTTGACCATAACTCTGTTATTAACAAAGCAATATAAACATTTTGGATACCCAACTAAAGCTAAGACATTACTCTTTGAAAATCATATAAAATTTATTAAGATGTGTTGATTTATTCAAAAACTATAGACCCTAGAACATGATTACCCAATAATATCTAAAAATTTTAAAAAATTTTCAATTGTCTTCTTTTAGCGTTAACTTTAGTATTTGATTATTTATAATAAAATAATATATATCCATTTGAAAGCTGAAATATTTCTCTTTAAAAATCAAATTATTTCATCAAAATACACCAATTACTTTCAATGTTATGGTTTCTAAAAAGTGGTTACCCGAAAAATACCCAAAATAGTAAATTTGGTAGACTTTTGTAATTTGGATGATAAGTTTGGTATTTGGGCAATTATTTAAAAATTATGTGTGCCCAAATCAATGACCACATGTATTTCTTTAAAAATCACTTGATTTCATTAAAATAAACCGACTACTTTCAATGTTATGGCTCCTAGAATGTGGTTACCCGAAAAATTCCCAAAATAGTAAATTTGGTATACCTTTGTAATTTTGATGATAATTTTAATATTTGACCAAATAGTTCATTATCATGTGAGCATGATTTAAAGATGAAATACATTTCTTTCAAAATCAATCGATTTCATTACAATATAGCGACTACTTTCAAAGTTATGGTTCCTAGAAAGTTGTTACCCGAAAAAATACCCAAATTAATTAATTTGCCGTATTTTAAACATTTTTACAATAACTTTGGTATTTGCCCAGATATTTCATTGTTATGCATGCATGATGTAAAGATAAAATGTATTTCTTTCAAAATCAATCAATTTCATTAAAATATACCGACTACTTTCAAAGTTATGGTTTCTAGAAAGTGGTTACCCAAAAAATACCCAAAATAATAAATTTGCCCTATTTTTAATATTTTGACGATAACTTTGGTATTTGCCCAGATATTTTATTATTATGTCAGCATGAATTAAAGGTTATATGTATTTCTTTCAAAGTCTCCTAATTTCATTAAAATATACCGACTACTTTCAAAGTTATGGTTTCTAGAAAGTGGTTACCCAAAAAATACCCAAAATAATAAATTTGCCCTATTTTTATTATTTTCCCCATAACTTTGGTAATTGGCCAGATATTTCAATATTATGTATGCATGATTTAAAGATAAAATTTATTTCTTTTAAAATCAATCAATTTCATTAAAATATACCGATTACTTTCAAAGTTATGGGTCCTAGAAAATGGTTACGCAAAATAATATATTTTCCCGATTTTTAATATTTTCCAGATAACTTTGGTAATCGCCCTGAAATTTCATTATTATCGGAGCAAGATTTAAAGACTTAATGTATTTCTTTCAAAATCAATTTATTTTGTTGAAATATACCGATTACTGTCAAAGTTATAGCCATTAGAAAATGATTACCCAAAAAAATTACCCAAATGTGTAAAATTGGAACACACGGATACGATTGGCAGTAACTCGGGTATTTGACATGTCAAATAAATAAATGAGGTACCGATGTAAAGATTACATTATTCTCTTCGATTTTCTTAATAATTACTTTCATACATACCGATTACTTTTCAAGTTAAAGCCTCCGGAAAACGATTACCAAGAAATTATCAGATAGAGGAAAATTCAAACACTTGAGTATTATAAGCGATAACACTGCCTAATGACCAGATATATTTACGATTCAGGTACCGATGTAAAGATAAAATAATACTCTATAATTTCTCTATAAGTTACTTTAAAATATATCGGTTACTTCCAAAGTTATAGCATCTAGAAAATGATTACCGAAAAATATACCCTAAATATGAATATTTAAACACTTGCGTGTTATTGGCGATATTTTGGGTATTTGTCGAGCTATATATACAATTGAGGTATCAATGTAAAGATAACTTTATCCTCTACCACTTCTCTATTAGTTACTTTAAAATATATTGGTTACTTTCAAAGTTATTGCCTCTGGGAAAATATTACTAAAAATATACCCTAAACATGGAAAATGAATGAAAACTTGCGTATTATTCGCGATATCTCGGGTATTTGTCGAGTTATATATACAAATGAGGTACCGATGTAAAGATAACCTTATCCTCTACCACATCTCCATTAGTTGATTTAAAATATATCGATTACTTTCCAAGTTATAGCCTCTGGAAAACAATTACCGAAATATATACCATAAACATGAATAATGAAACACTTGCGTATAATTGGCGATATATCGGGTAGTTATCGAGTTATATACACAATGTCCACAAAGCAAAAATGTCCTCTAAAATTTCTTCATGCATGTCTTTAAGATATAGTGATTAGTTTGAAAGTTATAGCCATTAGAAAATGTTTACCACCAAAATAGCAAAAAGTGGAAATTGGAGCACTCGCATACAATTGCCGATATCTCGGGTATTTGATATGCCAAATATATAAATAAGGCATCGATATGAAGTTGAGAATATACTCTTTCATTTATAGAGTAATTTCTTTAATATACAGCAATTATTTTCATAGTTATGGCCATTAGTAACTGGTGACCTTGCCAATACCGCATATTTGAACATTTTTACATTTTTGTAACTTTGGGTATATTTTAAAGTTTTTGTTATTTATATAGAAAAAATTTATACCAAATTATAGATAAGATATACCTTTGTGGAAATTATATCATTCCAAATATATAAAATTTTATAAACTAATTAACGTAAAAATTTAAAAAAAAATTAACTACGAAGCTTGATAAAATTTTAAGAAATCTCGGTTATTTGAACAGCTATTAATACATAAAAGGTATCGATATTTAGCTTAGATTCACCTCTTTAAAAAATGTACCAAATATTTAAAAATTAAACGATTATTTCTAAAGATATGGCCTCCAGAATATGATTACCCAAAAAATGCCCAAAAAGGTGGAAATTCAGACATTTTTTTAATTCTTAAAATAAATTTCAAATTATTTCCCAAAATATTCAATTCTATCGAATTTTATAAAATTAAAAAAAATGCATCTCCCAATTATGGAATTTACTAATATGGTCTTTATTTTTTTTTTGTTAATAATATCTTTGTAACAATATTCAATAATGTTTTGGTTTTTGTTTTCTTGTTCTTCTTCTCTCTATATTCGTAGCAGAATTCGTGACTACGTTTTCTTGTTTACATGTTAGCTTTTTTGTCTTAAAATTGAAATAAAAAAAATGGATGAGTTCTAGTTTTCGTTTATCGTGTTTTTTGTTTAACAAAATTGAGATAAATGTTTCGTTTTTTTGAAAAAAACAACAACTAAAAAAATAAAAATTAAAGCCAATTAATTTGTTGTTATATCTATGCAAAGCAAAAATTAAATTAACAACAAAGTTTAAGCCAATAAATGGGGGGTTTTGGGGGAGGTAGTTTTATTTTCTCCCACAAGGCGGCAGTTTTTTCAAAACCGATTTTTTTCTCATTAATGATTGACACCCTTATTCTGTTGAACATGTTTGATATTGTATTCGACACAGTTACGGATTTTCGGTTCCAAACACTGTGAATAGACATCGGTCCACAAACCGCTCAATGGCAATTCAGCATCGGCCTTGGCCTGAGCAGTGGCAGCATCAACTTCCTTGCGTACCTTGGTATCGATGGCCTTAATTTCATCGGCCGTCAACAGACCCAATTCAATGCACAGCTCTTTGAATGAGGTAATGGGATCACGCTTCTGACGCACCTCTTGAATTTCTTCGCGAGTACGATAACTGGTACCGGGGTCAGACATAGAATGGCCGGAATAACGATAAGTATTGGTTTCCAAGACAATGGGACCGTGTTTGTTGACATAATCGATGGAGAATTCCGTGGCACTGCGTACGGCCAAAACATCCATACCATCGACCCAAATGCCGGGTAGAACATCACCACGTGTGTAATAGTCGGTGTTGCAGGAGGCACGTTCAGCACTGGTACCCATGCCATAGTTGTTGTTTTCACACACAAAGATCACGGGCAGTTTCCACAAATAGGCCATGTTGTAGGCCTCGAAGACCTGGCCCTGATTGGCAGCACCATCACCATACAAGGCCAAGCACATGCCACCGTTGCCCTTGTATTTACAGGCAAATGCAACACCGGCACCCAGGGGAACCTTTAAAAAAAAACAAATTCTTAAAAATAAAAACCAAACAAAAATCCCATCTCTCTCCTACCTGAGCCCCCACAATACCATTACCACCATAGAAATTTGGTGAATACATGTGCATCGAACCACCCTTGCCCTTGGCACAACCACTTTGACGACCCGTCAATTCAGCCAAAACACCCAATGGTGGTACACCCATCAAATAGGTCCAACCATGGACACGATACGCAGAGATAATGTTATCCACATCACGCATGGCAGCCTTCATGCCTGGAAAAGAGATATTGAAATGATCTTTTTATAATCTTAAAAAATATGAAATTTAAACTCACCAACAGCACAAGCCTCCTGACCCGAATACAAATGACAGAAACCACGAATGATTTTCTCTTTGTACAAATTACCGGCAGAGGTTTCCAAACGGCGTATAGTTTGCATTTGTGTATAGTATTTGAGAGCCTCATCTTTGGTTAGTTTGACAGTGGTTTCGGGTCCCTTGTCGAGACGGTGTAATTTGAAAGGCTAGAATTTAAATAAATAAAAAATAAATAACAATAAAATAGACCAAAAAAATATATATTGAAAATGGCTCATATCGACCCACATTTGGCAAAATGCCTAATACAAACGCTCTCTCTCTACCGTTTTATCATATCTAATTTTGTTAGATAAATTTTCCAAACTGCTTCTTAATAATTTTCTAAAATTTCTAAAAAAAATTCTAAAATTTTTAAAAAAAAAAATATCTAAAATATCTTTAAAAAAATTTCTAAAAATTTTTTAGATAAATTTCAAAAAAATTTTAGATAAATTTCTAAATTTTTTTAGATAAATTTCTAAAATTCTTTTAGATAAATATCTACAATTTTTTAGATAAATGTCTAATTTTTTTAAATAGATTTCTAAAAATTTTTTAGATATATTCCAAAATTTGTAAACAAAATTTTAAAATTTTTTAGATAAATTTCTAAAATTTTTATATAAATTTCTAAAATAAAAATATCTACAACTTTTTAAATAAATTTCTATTTTTTTAATTAGATTTCTAAAAATTTTTCAGATATGTTTCAATTTTTTTAGATATATTTCTAAAATTGTTTAGTTAAGTTTCTAAAATTTGTTAGACAAATTTCTAAAATTTTTATCGATAAAAATGTACAACTTTTTAGATAAATTTCCAATTTTTTTTAATAGATTTAAATTTTTTTATATATATTTCAAAATTTTTGTTTAGATAAATTTCAGAAATTTTAAGATAATTTTTTAAAATTTTTTAGACCGATTTCTAAAATTTTGTTGGATAAATTTCTAATATTTTTTTGGTTAGATTATTGAAAATTTTTGGATAAATTTTTCAAAATTTTTAATTTAATTGTTCAAAATTTATAGATAAATTATTTGTTTTTTTTTTTTTTGAGATAAATTTTCTGGAAATTTTATCTCATCTAGAATTTTTGAAATAACATAAACAAAATTGTGGTAAAAATTATTCAAATTTTTAATCAATCTCTTTTCAAAATTTCAGATCAAAATAATAGATTTTTTTTTTTTTGAGTTGTCCTCTCCCTAACCTGGGATAATATTAACATTTTCAATTCCATACCATTGAAATAACCATTTCAATACCTCCTGATTAAATACTACAAAAAAAAAACTAAACTGATTAAAATTTTATAATACACCAAACAGGAGATAACAAATACAAAAACAAATTTGTTCGCAACATACAACTGCGACGGCAAAACCCCCTGCAAATAGGAGATAACAGGCAGACAGACTGTCACTAGGTTAGTGAGTGAACATATCTAAAGATTCAAAAAAAAAATTATTTGGAAATATGGCTTCCTTTTTTTGTTCTGCTTACAGCAGCAAAACGCATGATTGATGACGTCTGTGGCAACAAAAACAACAACAATTGTTACGATATGTTAATAAACATAAAAAACATTCACGGAGAATTTGCCTCAATGGGGGTTCTAGCGTATAGCAATGACCTTGAACCAAAACAATAACACCACTATTAATTTTATTTTTTTTTTTCTCAGCTAAAGAAATTTCACTTTCCCCCAAAAAATGTCCTTACATTATAGCACACAACATTTTACATACAAATTAAAAACTAAAAGAAAAACAAAATGAAAAAATTAAAACAAGTTATGTAACTTTTTTTTGCAAATTCTTACCCGTTGCACTTGCACTGTTGCCTCGGTAGCATAGTTATTGGATTTTTGTGTTCCGGTTACGGCAGCTGAACTCTGGAATAAACCGAAAAATGATGATGAATAAAAGCGTCCTCTTAGCTGGCTAATATTACAAGACAATAACAACAAATTATGGCGGTGGGCACTGGATACTACAACTCTTGGCCAAGTAGCCCCCCTTGAGGTTGATGGTAGTGGCGGTGACACACAAACATGCAATTGTCTGCTTTGCGATTTTTTTGGCAATATAAGGCTGCTGCTGCTTTGTGGATAACCTACTTTTTGTAATTGTTGGAGTACTTTGGGTGCTGCGGCACCAGCTCGTGTTACTTGACGCAACATATTTTCACTTAATTCAATTAATTTCACGAGTTTAGGCGTTTTGAAGAGTTTTCGGAGAGGGAAATCCGCAAGGAAAATATGAATGCTGCTCGGAAAATTGAGTCGCGTAACAACGACGGCCCAAAGTGTTGTGAATGAACACACACAAATTACTTGTGTTCATTCACAATGGCAACAGGGTTGTATAAGATTAACGAGCCAATTGCGATGTGATTGGCAACGCCGTCAAATTGTTGTGTTGTTATTCTACAGTGAGTGGCAGAGCATTTTGTTAAATACAGATACATGATATAAAATGCTTGCATAAAATAGCTTAATCTTTGGTTTTTTGAGGGCCATTTAAACAGATCATATGTCAAATGAAAGCTGAAATGTTCTTCCTCTAAATATATAATTTTTTATTAAAAAACTACATTTACATTGCTAAGTTATAGCAGCCACAATATGACCACAAATGAGCATAATATGTGTAGAATTTAAAGATTAAATCATGTTACATGAATACAAAGTTAGGATACATTAAAGTGAATAAGCAGAATTTCAGAATTGCTATTTGAACGCTGTAGGTGTTGTTTCTTCTGTCAGACATATGAAATAAATATACGCAACATGTTGTTATGTTTTGTTGACATTTTTTTCAAGATAAAACTAAAACCGCGAAAAAAAGAATGAAACGGCATAATTTATTTTTAAAATGGTTATTAAAGTATAATTCAAAATGTCCTAATGACGACAATATTCTTCAGTCAATTTCACTATGGGTATCTGAATAAAATAAATCTGTACTAATATAATATTGGGTGTTAATTTTTTTATGTTTTCTGTGTAAACTCTTAAAAGTCCATCAAAATTTCCTACAAAACTTTATTTTATTGGGTTGATACCGATGGAGATAATATTCCTTATGAAATTTCACTATGGATCTCTGAACAAATCTGTAGCTATTATGTATGTCAGCAAAATGGCTGTTTTTATCAAATAAATATAAATTTTAAATAGATTAAAAATATTTTTATGTTACATTTAACCGGGAACATTTTTTCCTTTGCATATATGTCAAATAAAATGTGCGTAAAAAGTTCTAATGTATATGCCGTTTTATGTGGAAAATTTTTTCCGAAATGTGCCAAGATTTTTTAAATACTTCATTTTATGGGTTAAACGAGGAAGATAATGTTCTAAATTCCAATAGAGTTTAAAAAAATAATCGAAATTTATAGAATTATTTAATGGTTTTCCACAACACATTAATAATGTTAAATGATGCTATCAATTCACTTGTGAATGCTACTTTGAAACTGCCAAAGAAAGAAAAAGCATTTAAAGAGTTCTCTAATCTCTGTGAATGGTAGGATAAGAAGAAGCATTATTTTGTATACCAAATACATTTTGTTAACACATTTTTTACACTACACATTTGCTTTAATTTCATTTTTTTATTAAATACTTTTTTTACTTTTCAAACAAAAAACGTTCCATGTACGTCATAATTTAAGTAACCCCCAAAGCAATTACATCAGCTGATGGGCATTCCTCCATGACTCTTCATTCTAAACAAAACAATATCGGACATTATGTATCACCCTCATTCGTAAACAAATGGGGTATTGTGCCATTTTCCTATCAGTTTGTTTTTTATCATCCATTCCCCTCATTTCTCTTTGTACGTTGTGTGTGGAACGCTTTTCATTTTGGTCGGTTCATTCAGCAACAAAACACGCTTTTTGTAAATTGTTATATTTCCAATGGAATTTTTATGAAATTTTTGCAAATTTTAAATAAAATCTTGTAAAAATGCCTAAGGAACAGTTCCGCGAAGCGGATCTGATCAAGAAAATGTAAGTATTTGGGATTTATTATGTTTTCTTTATAAATTTTTATTTTGGTGACTTGCAGATCACATGTGCAGTTCAGCATTAGCAGCCCCGAAGAGATTCAACAGGAATCCCATTTGCGAATTGTCTCGAAAAATCTATATCAGGCCCAGAGGCAACCGGTTCCCTATGGTGTGCTGGATCGACGTATGGGTGTCAGCAGTAAAGATGCCACCTGTGACACCTGCGGTCAGGGCCTAAACGAATGTATTGGTCATTTTGGTTATTTGGATTTGGCATTGCCGGTATTTCATATTGGCCATTTTCGTTCTACGATTAATATTCTGCAAATGATTTGTAAATCCTGTTCGCATGTTATGCTCAAGGAGACGGAAAAGAAAATCTATGAGAAAAAGCTATTAAATCCAAATTTTAGTTATTTGGCCAAGAAGGCACTGCATGGTCAAATATTGACTAAGGCAAAGAAGTCAACAAAATGTCCCAATTGTGATGCAGTGAATGGGGGTGTCAAAAAGGGACCGGGATTGTTGAAAATTCTACATGATCCCTATAAGGGTAAGAAACAGGATCCGTTGATGAGCAAAGATTTGGATGATTTAATGCAGGCAACGGATAATAATCGTGAACTAAATCAAATGTTGGGTAATTATAATCACATGGAGGAATTGAATCCCTTGACGGTATTGGAGTTGTTCAAGAGTATACCCAAAAGGGATATTCCCTTACTGGGCATGACCAGTGAGGGGGCAAATCCGGCAAATTTAATTGTTACCAGGGTGTTTGTGCCACCGGTGTGTATTAGACCCTCTGTGGTTTCGGAGGTTAAGGCGGGAACGTAAGTATGTTTGGGGTTTGAGATTTTTGTTGTAATTTAAAATTTGTTTTTGTATTTTTAGAACCGAAGATGATCTGACCATGAAACAAAGTGAAATTCTGCTCATCAACGATGTAATACAAAAACACATGACCGGTGGTGGTAAAATTGAATTGATACAAGAAGATTGGGATTTCCTCCAGTTGCATGTGGCCTTGTATTTCCACAGTGAAATTTCCGGCATTCCCTTAAATATGGCTCCCAAGAAAACCACGAGGGGTTTGGTGCAACGTCTCAAAGGCAAACAGGGTCGATTCCGTGGCAATCTTTCCGGTAAACGTGTTGATTTCTCGGGCCGTACTGTCATCTCTCCAGATCCAAATTTGATGATACATCAAGTGGGGGTACCCGAAAGAGTCGCCAAGATTCTTACCTACCCAGAGCGAGTTAATCCGGCAAATATACAAAAAATGAAAGAGCTTGTCAAAAATGGTCCCAATATCCATCCGGGCGCCAATTATGTACAACAGAGAGGATCAACATTTAAAAAATACCTTGCCTATGGTAATCGTGACAAGGTTGCCCATGATCTGAAATGTGGTGATATTGTAGAACGCCATCTCTGTGATGGTGATATTGTCCTCTTCAATCGTCAACCTTCGCTACACAAAATGTCGATTATGTGTCATCAGGCCAAGGTACAACCACAGCGGACATTCCGTTTTAATGAATGCGCCTGTACGCCATATAATGCAGATTTCGATGGTGATGAAATGAATTTACATTTACCCCAAACCGAAGAGGCTCGGGCAGAGGCTTTGATTCTAATGGGCAATAAATCGAATTTGGTTACGCCCAAAAATGGAGAGATTTTAATTGCGGCCACCCAAGATTTTATAACGGGAGGATATTTGCTGACGCAGAAAGATGAATTTCTGACCAAGGAACAGGCAATGCAATTGGTGGCATGTTTCTTGGCCGGACCCGATGCCAATATGCAAATTGATATGCCACCCCCAGCCATTATGAAGCCGCGAAGACTTTGGACGGGGAAACAGATTTTCAGTTTACTTCTCAAACCCAACAAACAATGTCCGGTTAATGTTAATCTCATAACCAAGGGTAGGAATTATACCAGCAATTATGATTTGTGTGCCAAGGATTCATGTGAGTACCGAGAACCAAGCTATATTTGAAATTCATAAAAAAATGTTTAAATATTTTTCCAGGGGTCATCATACGCAATTCGGAATTGTTGTGTGGTTCCATGGATAAAAGTACCATGGGTTCGGGTACTAAAAATTGTGTTTTCTATGTCATACTCAGAGACTTTGGTGAAACATTTGCTACCAAATGCATGTGGCGTCTGGCCAGGGTAAGTACATAATTTAAATATTTAGCATATGACAAAGGCAAATCAATCGATAGTAGGCAAACCAACTAAATAAATATTTACATTTGACTGTGAGAATATTAAATAATAACCACAATATGGAGATTATCTAAGGGAGATATTTTGTTTGCGTCATTTAATATCCATTCATTGTGATTAGCATACTAGTTATACTCTGTGGAAATTCACAAACTATCTCAGATCTTTTTTTCCTCTAGGGGAAAGATAAAATATTCTTCCTTATTAAAGTTTATTTTTTTATCAAAATTTTACGTTTTTTTCATTAAGAATTTCTTGTACCTATTGTTTTATTGATAATACGTAAATAATAACAAAGCCCGTCATGTCAATTGCAAAATTAAAATCTGATTAGCTGTTTTTGTTCCTATTATTGTTTGGTATTATCTAATCTGTATAAGAGAGGGGGATTTGTTCTGAACATGTTTTCGGAATATACAGGGAATTACCTGCTCGAAAATTCCATTCCGGACACCTGTTTCCAAATAAATATTATATCTACAGGTTTCTTGTGGCCGAAGACCCATTGTGAAATTTTATGCAGAATATTGTTTCTTTTGATAGCAACTTGCTAACATGAAAAATTATGGGAAAAATTAACACATTTCGGAAAATTTTACCCACATAACCTCAAAAAGTATATAATCAATTTAAAATTCGATTTTTTCCACATAAATATTGTATGTACAGGTTTCTTGCGGTCGAAGACCCACAGTGAAATTTGACATAGAATATTTTTTCCATTGACATCATCTAGCTAAAATGAAATATTGTGGAAAATTTTGACACATTTTGGAAAATATATCCACCTACCTCAAAAAATTTATAATCAATTTAAAATTCCATTTTTTCCAAATAAATATTATATATACAGGTTTCTTGTGGTTGATGACCCTTAATGAAATTTGATTTAGAACATTTTTTCCATTCACACCATATTCCCATGATGAATCTTTGTGGGAGATTTTCGGTACATAACCTAAACAAATATATTTATTTTTTTTAATCTTAATTAAAAAATTGAAATTTCATAGCCAAATATTATATCTACAAACTTCTGTTGTTCAGTGACCCCTAGTGAAATTTAATGGATTATATTTCCTCCTAGTAGGATAGTATATATCCTCTTTCAAAGTCCCGCTGTGAGAGATTTTGGTACATAACCTAAAAATATTTTTTTACCAATTTAGAATTTGATTTTTTTTATTTACCAACTTCTGTTGTTTTGGGACTCGTAGTGAAATTTCATAAAGAATAACTTCTCCATTTACAACATGCTCCTAAATCGTACCATTGTGGGTGATTTGGTACATAACCTAAAAATATATTTTTTAATTTTATCTAAATTTAAAAATGTAAATTTATTGTACAAATATTATATTTACAAAGTTCTGTTGTTCAGTGACCCATAGTGAAATTTTATGTAAAATCTAATTTCCCTTGACATCGTAGCTAAAAAGGGACATTTTGTTGTAAATTTTCATGAAGAATGGATTTAACCTCAAAATACGAACTTAACCTTAATTTTTTTATATCTATAAATTCGATATTGCAGTGTAGACTACGTTCCCTCCATAATGGAAGAAATCTATAAATTCGATAGTATCCTTATTGTAGGGTAGACTTCTTTCCCTCCATAATGGAAAAGGATAGGCTTCACACAAACAATATTAAAATATTTCTTTTTTTCAATTTTTTATTTTATTTTAAATTTGTTTTCTAATATTGTGTTAATCCCGTTACTTTGTATATGAATGGCAGAAAATATGATAACCTAGCATATGCCGATGGCAATCCCTCCGTACACTGATCCATGGGTACAAATGAATTTATACCAATTTGTACGTAGTTATAATCAGGATTACGTGTAACCAATGCACCACCAGAATCACCATTACAAATTGACATATTTGCAATATCAAAGCCCTTGGCACATAATGTCGATTCTATCACCAAACCGGGTTCATAGACACCACTACATTCACTGTTATTAATAATTTGCACCTGGGCCCATAGCAAAACATCCGATGCATCCATATATTCATCATTCTGAAGACCAAAACCGGAAATTGCCGCAACGGTACCGGTTAAATTTTCCGATACCATGGCTTGAGGCATTAGGGTAATGGGAGCAATATAACGGGAAAATGTCAATGGTTGGGGTAATTCAATTAGGCACACATCATTGTTGTAATTTGTTGGATTGTACTGGGGATGTATTGTGAATTCGGTGGCGGTCATATTCAGAGCGGTATCATTGTACAGGTCAATGGTGCCGAAAACAAGCAACAATGATTCATGGCCATAACAACAATGACCGGCTGTTAGAACCCAAGAATCGGATATAATAGAGCCGCCACACAATAGATCATCAAACTCATCTTGTTTGATAATTACCTGCCAGGGGAATTGACCGGGATCGGCCTGATAACCAGAGACAATGCGACCCTAAAAATTATTTTTTTAAGTTTAATTTGTTTTTTAATTTTTTATTTTTTCTCTTAGCCCCTCTTACCTTGGGAATAGTACCCGCATAAGCTGCTTGTAATCCCACTGCTAAACATATTGCCAGCAATGCCAATGTAATCCTAGTCATGATCTCTTTATTTGGCTATTAGACTGAGTATCTTGCGCAAAGAACGTTGTGGCCCAGCTAAAGCTTCTATGAAGACTATAGAAACAGTGCCTATATTTTTTAGCCCAAAGCATGCCTGCCAGCCAGCATGTCTGTCTCTCACTCTCACAATATTGACCGTTGTCGATTTTTTCAAACTGATATATTATTTGTGTGCTCAAGTGTTAAAGATAAGAAAAGCGACTTTCCACAGATATAAAATAATTTGCAAAAGATTTTTTTTCAAAAGAAAATTAAAATACCTATGATAAGCTCTAATTTTTTTTCTCTCTCTCTCAAGACAATTACAATTCATCAGAAGTTCCAGTACATTGCTGATATGACGTTTTGTTAGGGAAACACCATTATCTGGCGTCTGTTGTAAAGAAAGTTATTAACACAACTTGATATAAAACGTATTAATTGGGCTATATGTCGAACCTCACAACCACCTACCTACCCACCCTCTGCAATATGAAATCTTATCTTTCTTGTCACAGTATTTTTCGACGTTTTCAATTACCCGTTTTATGATTATTTCTTGGGAAAAAAGATTTCATTGCCATAAGTAGCGAAAGCACTTTATAATTGTTTGTCAATACGATATTGTTGGGCTACGCAAGGGTGCCATAAAAACAAAAAAAAATAAATCTTTTGAAATCTTGGAATTGCTAATTTGTAAATGGAAAATTATAAAAGGTTATTTTGATACATTTTATAGCCATATGGACCACAAAATGTCATTTTTGAGGCATGGTACCAATGAAAAAAATATTCTCCATAAAATTGCACTATAGGTCATCGACCACAAAAAATCTATAAATGTTGTAAAAATCCCTAAAAATAGGCATTACAAATTGACCAATAAACTATTTTTAGGTTATTTTGAAGTATTTTCACTTTTTGCCAAAATCTCCCTCCCCCCTATATAGCCATGAAAAATCGTTTCTAAAAGGGTCACACAATTTTTTTTTGAGGTTATTTTGCAACATTTTCTGTTTCATTATAGAGGTATGGTGCCAATTAAAAAAAATATTCTCCATCACCACTATGGGTCATTGAGCACAAAAAATCTTTAGATTATATAAAAATCCCTAAAAACCCCAATTCCAAAATTACCAATAAACTATTTATAGGTTATTTTGAAGTATTTTCGCTTTTTGCCAAAATCTCTCTTAATACTTCATTTTAAAGGAATAGTATTAAAGAGAAAATTATTCTTTATCAAATTTCAGTGTAGGTCACGGATCAAAAGAAATCTGTAACTGTATGCTGTATCAAGAATTTTCAGGTTCCAAATTGATTATACAAATATTTTTAGGTTATGTGGATGCATTTTTGGATTGATGACCAAAACTCGTTCCAACTTCATTTTAGAAACATGATGTCAATGGAGAATGTATTCTTTATCAAATTCTACCATAGGTCACCGACCAACGCAAATCGATAGCTATGACATACAACCAGAAAAAAATCCATTGCAAATTTTGTTATAAAATATTTTTTGGTTATTTTTGGCATTTTTGGAATTCTGCCAAAATCTTGACCAACACTACCACATAGAGGGATGTTACCAATGAGTGATATATTCCTTAATAAATTTCACTATGGGTCACCGAACAAAAAAAAATTTTAGCTAAACTATATAACCTCGGAATGACTATTCCAAAAGTGGTCTTATAAATATTTTGAGGTTATTTTCCACATTATTCTAAATATGCCCATATCTCCTGAAATAATTCAATTAAGAAATCTGACATCAAGGACGGAAATATTCTCTATTGAATATTACGCTAAGTCACCGAACAAATGAAATCGGTAGCTATAGCATTTACCCTAAAAAGCCGATTCCAAATTGGACTTAAAAAAATTATGGTATGGTTTTTTGACACAATTCCCGAATTCTGACCATATCTCATACAATCATCCATTTTAGAGGCTTGACATAAAAGAGATAAATATTCTCCATAAAATTCCACTAGGGGTCACAGAACAAAAGAAATCGGTATCTGTACTCTATAAGCTTCAAAATTCTATTTCAATTTGATAAAAAATAATAATTTTATCGTTATGTTCCCTTTTCCCCTCTTTTCCAGATTGCTTCATATTTCATACAAAATCGTGGTTTTTCATTCGGCATCAGCGATGTTACGCCAAGTGCCCGACTTTTAGAAGAGAAACTACGCCTGCTGGAAAAGGGTTATGCCAAATGTGATGAATATATTTTGGAAATGAAAAAGGGTACACTGCAATGTCAACCGGGTTGTACCCCGGAACAAACACTCGAAGCAGTTATGTTGCGGGAGTTGTCCAGTATTCGTGAACAGGCAGCCAAGGCCTGTTTCCGTGAACTTCATCCAACAAATAGTGCCTTGATTATGGCCCTGTCCGGCTCCAAAGGTTCCAATATTAATATTTCACAAATGATTGCCTGTGTCGGCCAGCAGGCCATTAATGGTAAACGAGTGCCGAATGGTTTTGAAAATCGTGCTCTGCCACATTTTGAAAAGTTCTGTGAGTTCGGAAAAATAATTTTGAATATTTTTTCGATTTTTTATTGATTTTTTTATTAATTTCCAGCTGCCATACCCGCCGCCAGAGGTTTTGTACAAAATAGTTTCTATTCGGGATTAACACCCACAGAGTTTTTCTTCCACACCATGGCCGGCAGAGAAGGTTTGGTAGATACGGCTGTAAAAACTGCCGAAACGGGTTATCTGCAAAGACGTTTGGTCAAGGTAGGTGGACTTTGTTATACGAAAAAGTATTTTTTAATGGCTTTTTGTTTTCCTTTAGTGCCTGGAAGATCTGGTGGTCCACTATGATGGTTCGGTACGCAATGCAATTGGTGAAATTGTTGAACTGATCTATGGTGGTGATGGTTTGGATCCTGTTTTCATGGAGGTCAAAAATAAACCCGTGGACATGGTACGCCAATTAAATCACTTGAGGGCCTGTTGCCCCTATCGCAATGAGGAGCCCATAGCGGCTGAGAAAATTATGGAAACCACAAAAAATATTTTACAAGAAGAGGAATTCACCATGAGCCGTAAAGATTTTCAAAATGAAATTATGTAAGTTAAAAAAATACAAATTTAAAAAAATAATAATTTTTCTTTTTGTTCCCCTTTAGCTCCTTTATCGGAAAGGTAGCGGAAAAAATTGCCAAGGTCCAAGAGAAATATAAAGATCATCCGCAACTAGGTCATGAAGTGGAGCGATTGACCGAAGGTCAAATACGCACCTTTATGCGTTGGGTCAATGATAAATATAATCGCGCTGTGACCGAACCCGGCACTGCTGTTGGAGCTGTGGCCGCCCAAAGTATTGGTGAACCTGGCACCCAAATGACATTGAAAACTTTCCATTTTGCTGGTGTTGCCTCCATGAACATTACCCAAGGTGTACCACGTATTGTGGAAATTATCAATGCCACCAAGACCATATCAACCCCGATTATTACCGCCGAAATTGTCAATAACACCAGTATGGAATTTGCCCGCAAGGTTAAGTCACGCATTGAAAAGACAACCCTGGGAGAGATTTCTTCCTACATTGAAGAGGTCTACAAGCTGGATGATTGTTATTTGGTTATTAATTTGGATTTGAATCGTATCAAGGTGTTGGGTTTGGAAATCAATGCGGAGACCATTCGATATTCGTAAGTCAAAAAATATTATTTTTTATTTGTTAACAATTTCTAAATTTTTTAAAATTTCTCTTTTAAGGATTTGTACCTCAAAACTGCGCATCAAACCAGCCTTGGTGGATATAATGGGTTCCTCAATTATCATAGTACGCATTGATAGTTCCAAACATGGTGCCGCCCTGAATGCTGAACTCCAACGTCTATCGTCAGCCATACAAAATGTTGTGGTAGCTGGTCTACCACACATTTCCCGAGCTGTCATAGCCATTGATGATTCCAGACAACCGGCCACCTACAAACTGTGCATCGAAGGTGCTGGCTTGCGCGATGTTATGGCCACTTATGGTGTTGTGGGTACCAAAACTAAATCAAATAATATTTGGGAAGTCTATAATACGCTGGGTATTGAGGCGGCACGCACCACAATTATGACTGAAATTACCGATGTTATGGAAGGTCACGGCATGAGTGTTGATCATCGTCACATAATGTTGTTGGCCAGTCAGATGACATCACGCGGTGAAGTGTTGGGTATTACACGTCACGGTTTGGCGAAAATGCGTGAAAGTGTTTTCAATTTGGCATCGGTAAGTTTGAAAATTGGTTCGAAAATATTTTTAGGTTATTTCTGGAAAATCTTGCCCACTTAGAGGGGTGATACCAATTATATATCCCTTATGAAATTTAACTATGGGTCACCGAGCACAAAAAATCTGTAGCTATACGATATATCGATGAAAATGGAATTTCCAAATTGTTTATACACATATTTTTAGGTTATGTTAATAGCATTTTTGGATTGATGGCCAAAACTCCTCCCAACTTCATTTTAGAGACATGATGTTGATGGAGAATATATTCCTTATCAAATTGTACTATAGGTCACCGACCAACCCAAACCGGTAGCTACGGCATATAACTAGAAAAAATCCCATTGCAAATATGTTATATATATTTTTTTTTTTATTTCTGGAAATCATGACAAAATCATGACCAACAGTGCCAATTAGGGCAATGATATCAATCAGTGATATATTCCTTATCAAATTTAACTATGGGTTACCGAACACAACAAATCTGTAGTTATACGATATATTAATCAAAATTGTATTTTTAAATTAGTTGTACAAAAATGTTTAAGTTAAGTTGATGAAAAAAATCAATTAAAAAATTATTTAATTAAAACTTATTTTTTTCGTTTTCAGTTCGAAAAAACCTCCGATCATTTATTCGATGCTGCCTATTTTGGTCAAACCGATGCTGTAGATGGTGTTTCGGAACGTATCATTTTGGGAATGCCGGCCTCCATTGGTACGGGTCTTTTCAAATTGGTACACAATCATCAAGACACAGAATTACCCGAAATTCAGCCACCCATATTTTCATCGGCGGCAGCGTGATACTGGTAGTGAGTCCATCTTTTTGTTGAAACAAAATTACAAATTCCCGTTTTTTTTTTAATAAAAAAAAAATAAAAAATGCACCACATGCAGTTTTTTGATTATTTTCTTTAAATATATTTTTTGTGAGGGGAAGGGGAAGACTACCCTCCTCTTTAAGAAAAAAAAAAAAGAAAAATTGGTGTTCCACTTTCTATTTAACACAGATTATTAAACATCACTTCTAATTTTTTAAGCTGCAATTAAAATGGTTTCTTATCCACATTGAATCTACAGCACAAAAACATGGGTTAAAGATACAATAAATTTTTTTGTTTTTGTTTTTTTAATAATAAGGACACTAAGCCTACAGTTACGAATATGAAATATAATGGGAGCGGAGTAACACTCCTCTCTTATTGTTGAACAAAGTATTGAAAGCAAAAAAAAACTCCCTTTAGAAATAAATCCTCACTGCCTCCTCGGCATTTTGTTCAACTGGACAATAGGGACATTTCAATATGTGACCATTACTTAATTTATGTAGGGCATCATTGGAGATGACATGGCCACAGGTTAACTTTTTGGGTGGATTATCTTCTGTGGTCTGTTGCCTTAAAATCGGACAGGCAAATATCGAATGATAACGATACTCGGGATCCAGATCTATTTCAATGGGTAGTTCATCGCGGCCACTCCAGATGTTGAGGACTTGACGGGATTGCATCACCTAAAGTGAAGAACAAATGTGGTATTTTTAGAGTTACAAAATATTTTATTAATAAAAAAATTAAATATTCTCATTTCCCCACTCCCCCTTACCTGTTTAATGTTCAACAATGCCGGCAGAGCTGTACACCCGGCATTTATAACCACCGACAGTGCGGAGTTCTTACTTATACCTAATGTATGGCAGGCATCTTTTAAAAATATATACGAAGCTTCAGTCCACATTTCCGGTGATATCAAATGTTTATAGGGGGAATTTTCAATGCCCGATGGTAGATAAATGAAACAACCCATTAAATTGGGTATTTCCTGTTCGAAACGATCAATGAATTTATGGAAATTATTTCGTGCATAGGCAATTGCCTCATGCTGAGCCGTTATACCCTTGGAGATAATTTGCAAAAATGCCAAACGATGCAGCTTAAATTCCAATGTTGAATTTTTGGCAATCAATTCATTGGAGTAGCGCGATGTCCATTCAAGGGCCAAACTTAAATCATGCTGTTGTATGGCCTTCCAGATGCGAAAGATTTCGGCAAAACCACGTTCCGATTCAAATACTTCACGGGCCATATCATCGGGCATTTTTGATTCTTTAATTAGCAGCTGGGCGACATCATCCATGCCCTGGCGGCAATAATGCTTCGCCATAACTTTATTCAGCAGCATGATATTTTCCTCATCCTGTAGGGCATCTGTACGAGTGGTGGCCGTAAAATCCGAAATGAAATTGCGATCAATTACTTTGCCAACTTTGGAGACGGCACCATGCAGTTCGCGATGTTCACTGGAGAGGCGTTGTAATTTTTCATTGGTTTTTTGTAATGCCTCGGTGATGATTGCAATTTGGCTGTCTGTCAGGCGGGGAGTTGAGGCTAAAAAACAACAACAAAAAGGGATAATAAGTACCTATTTCAATTGAATATCAGTTCCCCCTACTTACGTTCCATTTCAACCAACATTTCCGCCTCATCGGTCATGTGATCATCAGCATCCACCTGGGTGCCAGTGTTAATGGTGCCCGTCATTTCTTGTTCCGCCCGCGCCAATACCTGCAGCAACTCCTCCAGCAATGAAGCAACGTCATTGATTTCGGCTGCTGCATTTTCTCTTATCTCTGAGAATTTATTTATTACCCTATCCAATTCCTTTTCCACAGCCGTAATAGCTTCCAATTCGGCCGCTGCGGTATTGCTTGTCATGGTAGCCCAATATATTTTCCCCCAAAAAACACACACACGCACAATACACTTTGTTGGCAATTCAAGAAAAATTTTCCTTTTTACAACAGCACCAACACTAACGCAACGTCTTGTTTTTTTCCTTTTGTTTTATCTTTGACACTTTTCTTCTATCACCTTGACAATTAGCAAACAATGAATTGCATTATCGAAATATAGGCCAATGACTTTTAAGCCCGCTGCAATCCGGATCAGCTAAAATATATTTTCCGAGTATATATTTTCCCGAAATTGTTTTCTTTCTTTCCTTCTGTGTAAGGTGTATCAAAACACTAATGAGAAGAAGAAAAAAACAACAATGATAGATGCTTAGGCGAATCTCAACAACAAAGCAACTTCTGACAAACAATGATACAAGGTATATTTAATAAGGTAGCCGCATCAGCCCAGCTGTTGGACAAATAAATGTCAAAAATGTTGTTGTAATGTTGAACCAAAAAATTAAAAAAACAAAATTATAAATGAAAATCTCCGAATTTCGAAGAGCTTTTTTGACAATACTTTTATTAACATTTTCTACGAGAATTTTGTAAAAAAATCTTGTCAATCTGTTTGTTTTGGCAAAATATTTTTGACATATCAAAATACAACAACCGATGTTTGTTGTAGAAATTCGCCGATGCGGCTACCTTGTATATCTACCTTGCAATGATATGTCAAACTTTGTAAACAAACCTTTGACGTTTCAAAATTCTGTCTTTCTGTAAATAAAAACACCAATGAGAACAGTTAGCGTGGTTTTATATATGTCGGGATCGGGATCGGTGTTGAGAGTTTCTCTCTCTCTCAGTGGTAAATTGTGAATTGTGTTGGAAAACATTACCACAGGTAGGAACAAAAAAGTACGAAAAGGTACCTAAAATTCTACTTCAAATGATAATAAATTATAATTATGGAGAAATATTGGCCAATATTTATACCAGTTAGTTGCATAAATAACATATGATATAATTTAAGCGTAAATGTATTCACGAATAATAAAAAATAAATTTTTGTTTTGGTACGTTTATGTCAATTCGTACCTTTTGTGAAGCGCAACTCTAATTACTCTCTCAAGAGAGAGAAACTCTCAACACCGATCCCGATCCCGACAAATATAAAACCACGCTTAGGAGAGGACATGGACAAAAAGAGATGACAACAAAACAAATCTCTGAGGTGTTGCTTATATTATGGCGTAATTTGTATGACAGTTGGCATGAGAGCAAAGACCAATGGCAGCCATGGAGGTTTTTGAATGGAAACTCGTTTTTAGGGCTTTATTTTCAACAAATTATATAACATTTTGCATTTTTTAATTATTATATGTAATATCTGCTTAGCGAAATTAAGAAAATCAAAAATAAATAAATCCTATACAATGTAAACGTACTATAATGTGGCAAAAAGTTCTATAGACCATGTCGTTTTTCCATTATGAATACAAGAATTAGATTTTTTAATTCTGTTTATATAGAATTTTTTAATAGGAAGAACCACATAACAGGCCATTCGGTAAAAAAAATGCATCCGGACTCCCCAAAAATTCCGTATAATGGAGGGTAACGTTCTATGGGAGATATCCTAAAACTGTGGACCGATATAGATAATATTTACTAGGGAGATTTAACACTCAATGTGGACAAAATTGAAGCCAATTCAGTTAAAACCGTTTCCAAAATACCTATTGATGGGAGTAACTTTCTATGGTGGCTAACCTTAAAGCAGTGTGCACAAGACTGTCCAAGAACCATGACATGGTTATCTGATGAATGACTATCAAACAAGAAAAATGTGGGCAAAACTAGGGCCGGCCAAAAAATCGGATAACAAAATTAAATTTTGATTCAAAATGATGTTATAGGAAAAAAAACTTTTTTTAAAGTGGAAGACTCGAAAATGGATATAGACGCATGGTTTTTTCACTAAAATTGCTAAAGTTGTCCATAGAATCATACTATCAAATCGACAAACAATTTGGCATGAACAGATGTACACAGCTTAAATGAGAATTCGAAGTACCAAATTATAGATAATTGGATTAAGAAAATGGGCTCAAATTGGCCAAAATATTGGATAATAAAGGGATACATTTAATAGGACCGATAATCTTTATAATACCGAAAATTTTGAGTTACCGATGAAAAATTATGTATGTAGAATATGCGGTATCCGGTGAATATTTCCAGATGTTGCATTAACCAGAATATTTCCTTCTTCTTATCCCATAAGACTACAAAATACCAATACCAGTGATATTTAGTTCATCCTTCCTGTCTCCTGTTGCTTTTTTTCGATTAATTTTTGTCTAAACGCCCTATTAACAACGACACAATCACTACTGACGCCGTCAACAAACGCCAAACGCCGCTATTTAGATTTACTTCTCTCTCACCTGCTTAATTCGTTCGCCTAATGTTGACGTTTACTGACTGACAGACTAGTTCTTTCTCTCTCTGCGTTAATGGTTTCCCCCAGCTTGAGATAGGTAGTTTTTTTTTGATCAAATTGGAATTGTTTTGGTTTTTAAATAGTGTGTGCAACTTTCTTATATTTAACAAAAAAAAAAACAAACAAAACAGGAAAGAAACAAAAATGAGCGAAAGAAAGAAAAACAAAAAATCGGTAAGTACTCCCAAAGACTGCACTCACACACAGTCACAACGAAACTGAAAATCAATGACTGGTAAACATTTCTGTTGGTCTGTCTTTTGTTTTCTTTTTGCAGAAGGAAGAGATTGCCAAGGAGTTTGATTTGCCCGAACGTAAATCGAAAATAGCCACCATCATGAAACAGGATGGCCAGGCGTATTGCATATGCAGGACCTCGGATTGCAGTCGATTTATGATGTGAATATTTTGGATGAGTACCATTTAAATGGGAATTCTTTTTGAATTGTTTGTTTTTTTTTAGTTGTTGTGATGGCTGTGAGGAATGGTATCATGGTGATTGTATTAACATCACGGAAAAGGAGGCCAAACACATAAAACATTATTACTGCCAACGCTGCAAGGAGGAGGATCCCTCCTTGCAAACGGTGTTCCGTGTGGTACCCGTGGAGAAAACCTCAAATCCCATGGGCGCAGCAGCAGCAGTTGCGCCGTTGGAAACGGAGAAACGCAAAAAATCCAAAGATTTAACGGCTAACAATGAGTTGGCTGGTAGTGGTGGAGGTGCTGGTGGCACTGGAGGGGGGAAAACAAATACCAAGGTGAACCTTTGTGGCACCTGTGAGGGTTGCCGCACACCCAATTGCAATGTTTGTGAGGCTTGCCGTATACGGGTGGGCCACAAGCCACGTTGTGAGAAACGGGTTTGCTTGGTGCAATTGCAGGCGGAGTTAACGGGCCAAGTTCCAGCACCACGCCCCACCAAGGAAAGAAAAAAGGCAAAACCCAACAAAGAACGCCAAAGGAAACGTAAACGTTCCCTCACCCCCGAAACATTCAACAACCCCGAACTGGAAGGTATACGCCAATGTTATGGCCCAGGCTGTAGACGTAATGCTCGACCCCAATCGAAATATTGCAACGATGAGTGTGGTTTGAATTTGGCCACGGCAAGGATTTTCCAAGTTTTACCACAGCGGGTCCAGGAGTGGAATCTGACCCGATGTCGAGCCGAGGAGGAGAATAAAAAACAGCTCGATCAAATACGTTCCAAGCAGTCGTTGGTACGTTTCGCCCTCGCCGAGTTGGATAAACGCCACCAGGAGCTGGATATGGTTGTGGAGCGGGCCAAACACAGTACCCTTGATCCCAACCTTAAGGAACACAACGACATCGAAGACGAACAGTCAATGTATTGTATCACCTGTGGCCATGAGATTCACTCACGCACCGCCATAAAACACATGGAGAAATGTTTCAACAAGTACGAATCTCAGGCTTCGTTTGGTAGCATCTTTAAGACCCGCATCGAAGGCCAATCGATGTTTTGCGACTTCTATAATCCGGCAAGCAAGACATATTGCAAGCGACTGAAAGTTTTGTGTCCGGAACATTGTAAAGATCCCAAAGTTAGTGATACGGATGTGTGCGGCTGTCCGCTGGTGTCCAATGTCTTCACGCCGACGGGAGAATTTTGTAGGGCACCGAAGAAAAGTTGCTACAAACACTATGTATGGGAGAAAATACGTCGTGCAGAAATCGATTTGGAACGTGTACGACAATGGTTGAAGATGGATGAGCTGCTGGAACAGGAAAGGCAAATTCGGCATCAAATGGCCTCAAGGGCTGGTGTGTTGGGTCTTATGTTACACTCCACCTACAATCATGAGGTGATGGAGGAGCTATGCCGGCAACAACAGCAACAATTGGCGGCCGCCCAACAACAAAAACAATTGCTGGAAAAACAACAGGAAATGCATATCATACAGCAGTAATAATAGGGAAGGGGGGAGGCTACTCCCCACATAACACACAATATTATCACTTTGAACAAAAATATTTTGATAATCATGATGGTGGAGAAGAAGAAGCAAAAACAAAAATAGAAGTACATTTTTCAATCAATCAAAAACAAATGTGATTTAATTTTCTAGCTGATTCAGTTCTAATGGACTTCAAAATAAAACAAACAAGGAGAATAAAAACAAATCAAGGAAATTAAAACAAAAATTATAATAATAATGGGAAGTATTTAAATTTCAGGGGAAGTGGTTGTATGAAAAAAAAAAAACCGGAACTCCTATAGGGGAATTTAATCATCAGCCAAAAAGGCGTGGATTTTTAAATAATATTTTCTAGAGGTCCATCAGCCCAAACAGGCGTGGATTTTTAAAGAATATTTTCTAGAGGACCATCAGCCCAAACAGGCGTGGATTTTTAAAGAAAATTATTTTAGGGGACCATCAGCCCAAACAGGCGTGGATTTTTAAAGAAATTTTTTTTAGGGGACCATCAGCCCAAACAGGCGTGGATTTTTAAAGAATATTTTCTAGAGGACCATCAGCCCAAACAGGCGTGGATTTTTAAAGAAAATTATTTTAGGGGACCATCAGCCCAAACAGGCGTGGATTTTTAAAGAATTTTTTTTAGGGGACCATCAGCCCAAACAGGCGTGGATTTTTAAAGAAATTTTTTTAGGGGACCATCAGCCCAAACAGGCGTGGATTATTAAAGAAAATTTTTTTTAGGGGACCATCAGCCCAAACAGGCGTGGATTTTTAAAGAAAATTTTTTTTAGGGGACCATCAGGCCAAACATGCGTGGATTTTTAAAGAATTTTTTTTTTAGGTGACCATCAGCCCAAACTTGCGTGGATTTTTAAAGAATTTTTTTTTTAGGTGACCATCAGCCCAAACTTGCGTGGATTTTTAAAGAAAATTTTTTAGGGGATCATCAGCCCAAAAGGCGTGGATTTTTTTTATACCCATTAACAATTAAAATTTAAGAAGTTTATTGTTTAATTTTTATTATTTATTAAATATGTTTACTCATCATCATCGCGCTTAAAGGTTTTTCTTCACTTCACTTTCTTCTTTGTTTTGTTATTTTTATAATAATAATAATTTTGTTGTGAGTTGTTTTTTTTTTGTTTCTTGTCGTCGTCGTTTTTTGTTTTAAGTTATAAATACAGTAAATAAGAGTAGTAGTTGTAGTAATTTTATACGTTACATTTACGTTTTTTTAATAATTCTTATTCTATGGCCTTATCCATGAAATCGAGAAATCTTTTGGCATACTGTTCGGGATCGCATGTCGATATACCATCCACGTTACTGCCATACTTGACCGTCTTGGCAGCCTTCGCGGCCTGCTTCTTGACGCCATACTGAGTCAACACATCGATAATGGCAATGAAATAAATCTCACGTCTCTCTTCAATACTGGGAATTGCATACTTGTCCACCTCGTACACCACCTCCTTGTACTGGGCGCATCGTGGCGAATCTGGGGGCGTATTGTAGGTCCATCGTTCACCGCTGTCACCCTCCTCACTGTCACTGTTCTCGCTGCGTCCGGCAGCACTTTGCGGGTTACCACCCTGCAACTCCTCCTCCTCGGCCCGGACACAGTCGTGTAGGCCCACCAGCAGTGAGTAGTCCATTATGTGTAGTTTTGTCAGCAGTTCCACATCGTTGGTCAGCACATCCATAAGTTTCTTCTTGGCCTCCTCGCCAATTTCGATGCGTACCTTTTGCTTGATGAAATCATTATCTTTATAGGTTGGCAATGGCTTTTCCAATTCCTTTTCGGATGCCTCGCGGTCTACGGTGCTGCCCTTCAGATCGAACTTCTTGTGTATGGTCAGGCTGGAGCTGAAGACGTTGCGCATCACACCAAAATAATACTGTACACTCTCCACGGTGATGCGGTACATGCCCAGGTATTGGGGCAACAAGGTGTTGCCGTGACGTTCCACCACATAGGGGTGGTACTGCTTTAGAAATGCATGCATGCGTTCGATTTCCTCCGAAGTCAAACTCTTAATGATGAAGAACTTGTTGTAGCTCTCGTAGAACTGGGCGCCAGATTTGCCCGATGAATCGATGCGTACGGGCTGGGAACGGGTCAGCGATTCGCGATAGTCCACATCGTCGACGCCGAAACGTTCGCGCAAATTGCGAAACACCAATGGACAGTATTCCTTAACCTTAAAATGCGAGGGCATGTTCTCCTTGTTGAACAAGTGATTATCGACCTTAATCTTAGAGTAGGCCCGGAAATCATCCGGCAACAACATCACAGGTATATTCACATGGCTCAGCTCGTTAATCGTGTGATCTATACCCCACATCAGGACACTGAGTATGGGCTCATTAGCACGGAATAGCTTAACCTTTTGGTGTTTGACACGAAAGTGTTTCTTTTTCAGTATACGTGGTTCGGACGAACCTGAACCTTTCTTATCCATGTTTTTCGTCGGGTCCTACACACCAACGAGTATAGATTTTTCAAAGTAAACCGATTTTTTTCTTTTACACCACACCACAGCACACTCTTTTCTTTGGTTTCTGCAAAAAGCAAGGCGAACAAAAAAACAACGGCGGCTGCTAACTACAAACAATTATTTCCCGTAATGTTCTTTCAATTAATTTCTGCAAAAATCAATGTTTATTCGTGTCTTGTTCTGATCTTTTCTTTTTTATTCTTGTGTGTGTGTTTTTTTTTCAGTTCTTGATTCGTTTACTGCGGGCGGTAGTAAATCCTGCGAGAGGTGTTGTTTCTTGTTTCTATTGCTGCTACTGCTGCTGCTCATCCATTATTTTGCGTATATATTTCTTTGCGTTCTCGTTTTTTTTCCTTTCTCGATTCTCTTTTTCCTCACAAGTAAAAAAAAGAATTCTATATTTTTTTGTTTTTTACATCAATTTTTTGACGTTTTATTATGTGTGGTTGTTCTTCTATCAGCTGTTTCTCAATTAAAATGTCTATAGAGTAACGTTCTCTCTCTCAGTCACAGCAACAACGAGAAAAAGGAATAACATGAATGACTAAATGAAATGACACAGTGTCACGAGAATGAGTAAATGAAGTAAATGAGTACAACAGTACCGAGATGCCATTGCACTGAGTTTATAAATAAACAACAATGGTCGCATTCATGTTGTTGTTGTTGGTGTTGTTGCTGTTAATGCCTACTTGCTTTATGACATGTTTACATTAAATAAGATTACAATCGCTAGGGGGGCCATAAAAATAGGTGTTAGTCATAGTAAAATGAAACGGAAAAGAATTATAGATAAAATAATAATAACGACGAGTTTGAAATATTTAAAAAAAAAGTAAGGCGATGTAAAGCATCAATTGTTTATTGAAAATATGTTGTTTATATGCATATATAGTGCTATTTTAGTTTGTAATGTTGCAAAATTTTGTTGAACATTTTCCAGTTTATGTTGTAGGCCTTAAAAAATATTTTTTAAAAAATCCATGCCATAAAAAAATAATTTAAAAAAAATCCATGCCATAAAAAAAATATTTTTAAAAAATCCACGCCATAAAAAAATAATTTAAAAAAATCCATGCCATAAAAAAATTATTTTTAAAAAATCCATGCCATAAAAAATAATTTTTAAAAAATTCACGCCATAAAAAAATAATTTTTATGGCATGGATTTTTTAAAAAGATCATAAAAAACAATTTTTTAATAATATATAAATATTATAATATATTATATAAATATTATAATTTCTGGAATCGAGTTCATCAGTTATCAAATAAATCTTAAACTTCGGTCAAGTGATCACTACTAATCACAATATAGATGTTTTCCTTAAGCAAAACCTAGCTGAATTATTTTGCTGTGCAAAATTCGACCCTAAGGGAACCTCTGTACATATTTTTAATTTAAAATAATTGTATTTATAGCAAAACCTGAGCTGAATTGTTTTTCCAAGGAAAATTCGTTCATAATAAAAATCTCATACGCAACGATATTTATTTAAAAAAAAATAACAGAATTTTTGTTTGATTATTATTTAAAATTTCATTTCATGATTTTAATTTAAAATTTCATTTAAATTTTTTTTATTGAAAAAGCAAAAAACAAGTCCTTATTTACCTACATAATACAATTTGAATTGTCTCCACTCTGTATTGTAACCATTTACCTCTCTCACGGCCCACAAACTGACAATTTCCGCATGCAAAATCACCTAATGTAAATCAGGCCTGATAAACCGTTACTTCATAATTTACTCCTTTTTAGCATGGCAAATCATGCCACTGTGCATGGTTGACAGCTAATAGATGAGAGAGACAGATGAGTGTAGTAGCAAAAATATAGAAAAAGAAGAAATGCAGAAAAAAATGGTCAATGAATGGTTGTGAAAAGGGAGGAGACCACCTTCCGTTATCTTGGGGAAAAAAGTGTGCAAAAATTTTACAAATTATATTTTCTGGGGAGACGTGATAGATATCAGCGCGCTGGAATATACAAAACGAGTCATGCAAAAACAAAATGTTTTTCCTTTGCTTTACTTAAGGCATTTATTGTTTACTTTTCTTATTTTCAAATTTAGTACGGAAAGAAAAGGTAAGAGAAAACGGCAAAATAAAGCAAGCAAGCAGGCATTGTTGTGGTGGGTCGGGCGGTATGTGGGTTGTTTTGTTGTATATACATATGCATGTATATGCAAACAACAGCTACAACACCAACACAAAAGTGAATGAGTAATAACCACAACAAAATAATGTTTGTGCGTAACATGACGTTTGGGGGGAATGAAAGAGTCTCACAAAAAAAAAAGAGTTTTGCAAGGGCGCGTTCGTCACTGGGAACAGCAACAAAAATTCCCTGAATAGATAATTTTAATGCTGATGAGTTGTTCTTTTGTTGACATTAAATTCTTGTCCCCCTCTCAAACACAAAAAAAAACCGTTTTGTCATAGAAGATTTAAATAGTATGTGAGAGAGAGAGAGAGCGAGAACGTCGCAAATTGTTGACAAATCATGTTTAAAAAAAATAGAGCAACAGGAATGTGTGAATAACGTAAATTAATTAATTGTTTTTTTTTATTAGAAAAAAATATGTAAATAAAGGGTCAGATAATGTCAAATTAATTGAGGTGCCATGGCACAAATATTTAGTTAGAAATTTTGTACAAATAATTGTAAAAAATAAGTTAAATAAAATATTATGATAATCATCTGTTTGCATTTGTTTATAACTCAGGAGATATTTTTTATTATAACCAAAGATTACAGATTAGATTTTTAAAATAAACAGATAACAAGAGTAACTTTTTTAATATTTGCACGTTGCTTCAAAAAATATTAATGTGACGTTATATAGATTATTTTTCTATTAGATCATGTTTAAATCCCATGAGATATGGTGTTTTCTCGATTAGTGATAACATCTCGGTTTTTACCACATTCGTTGGCTGTGAGGCATCTACGATAATAGTTTCTTGACGCTTCATGAGATATGATTCAATTTGTGGTTCTTGATTATTGAAAAAACGCATCTGGAGAGGATAGTTTAATTAAATTAAAAGAAAAACTTCAATGAATCAATTTAGATTTTATAAAATGGACGTGTCAGCTGATCTCTTGGTGCAATGAAATGTCAAATATCAGGCAGATGTATCAGCTGTTCTATTGGTGGAATGTGCGGGATTAGCTGATACAACTGAAACAATCTCGTGCTGTCAAAATACATTCCATATGATCAGTTTTTTTCAGGTCTTTAGCCAATTCTTACCTCCTGTTCATAATAATCACAATTTGCTTGCAATGTTTCTTTCATATTTGGCATATTTATAAGCCTTAGCATGCACATCTTTTCGGGACACCTTAAATAGACAAATTTATTGGGTGGTATTTTAAATCTCTCCATTAGTTCTTGAATATCTTGCAAAGTATGGGGAAAATTTATTAAAATCCAACCATGTCGCAAACAATCACAATCCAAAAAACGTCGGGAAATAATATTAGCCAAAGCATGCGATTTCGCCTGGCACTTATCATAATAAAATGCGCGCTGCAATTCTCGAGCCAAAGGATCATGAGGTGCCGTATCATCACCTCTTAAATGTTGATATATTAATTTTTCAGCATCAACTAATTTTTCAACATCAAAATAATATTTTAAATTTAATTTAAATATTTAACTTACTTAAAATCAAATTAAAACGTTTTATCAAATATTGGGCTTGTGTTTTCCGACCCGAACCATGCCTACCAAACATAACCACACGATATAGATAACGGGGTGTCATATTTAAGCTGGCCACCATACCACATTTTCCCCCCTTCAAACAGTCTTCATAAATTTCTGCAGCAATACGTTTAATATTTTTTGCAATCCATAACTGGGTATTATGGGGACGTTCTATTGCACATTCTATCAAAATTCTCTGAAATATTTTTTTTTTCAATCTCTACCCCATTTTTTTTACAAAATTTTATTAGAATATTGTTTGACATACCTTGGCGATTTCTATTATTTTATGTTTTTCAAAATAGACCATAACTTCGGCGGCAAATTCCAACAATTTGTAATTATTTTTATCCACAATGAAAGACATTTGAATGGAATTCTATACAAAAAATATTGAAATTTCACAATTCAAATTACAAAAAAAAAAAAAAAAAAAAAACAATAGAGAAAATATGGCAAATACAAATTACTGGCAACTTATATTCTGACGGAGGCAAACTGTTGACATTTTCCATGACATATTCATAAATCTGCCGCATAGGCGAATTTCTACAACAAACAACTGTTGCAGAAAAATATGTTGCAAAGGCAAAGCGATTCATCAAAAACATGATAAAACATGAGATTTTAATCCATCACTTTAAACAAAAAGAAAACGTTATGGTACCATTAAACGATCTATTGATCTCTATTACTTTTCTTTTAGTGTCAAAAAACCGATCTCTTGACCCCTATTCGTTTTCTATTTGAACCAGCTGCTAGATAGACATTTTTGAATTTGTTAAGAGGGGTGAGGTAATCTGTTGGAATAAAATTAATAAACAGCTGATTTTTTTATTGATAACAAAAACACCCATTCCAAAGTACATTGAGTTGCGGCAGACACCAATAATGGCTCTAATTCCGCCGGTAACACGTCTATCCTCTTCCATTATAAGAATTTTGGGATGCAATCCCGGTCATATGACATTACAGGGTACAAACACCTATCTCATAGGAACGGGTAAAAAGTAAGTTAATTGATTTATTAGAAATTACTTTGCAATGATCGCTTGTTTTTAAGGCGCATTTTAATTGATACTGGCGACCCAGATGTACCGGAATATATCAAACACCTAAATACCGTATTGAAAGAAGAAAAGGCGTCCATTGGTACCATTTTATTGACACATTGGCATCATGATCATGTGGGCGGTGTTAAGGATGTTTTGAAAATATGTGGTGATAAAGGTAAGTATTTTTGTTTCCCAATTTTTTTGTTATCATTGTGCAGTTCCATGTGTGTTGTTTTATTGCGATGAGGTGTCAAGAGGGTTTCATTTTATATAATTTTCCACTTTTTCTCCACAAGATTTAAAGTTAATCTTCATAAAGATTGCCAGGTATTCAAATTTCCACGTACCGATGCCGAAGATATCTGCCCCGAAATGCCTAAAGATATTAAAGTGGAAA